TCTAGAGAAGCTCTTCACATCATTCATATCTTGGAGGAAGCAAGAGAAAACGAAATCCAAGGAGAAAGAGCTAGGATTGGAGGTAAGAACTCATATAGTTCTTTAACTAGCTTTATTTTTGTATGATTTTTAAGAAATCATATGATGGATCAAACATGAAGTTATACACGTTTAAAAGTGTAGAATAATGTTATAAAGTGGTGGTAATTAACTTAGAAGAGTCGTGGAATCGATAGGAGTTGAAATCGCCGGAAACCGCCAAGTATAGGAGGCTGTTCGTAGCTGCAGACCACGAAAACCGCCCACCTTTCACGAAAGCCGCCCGGCTTTCGTCTGCTGCCCAGATTTTTCATCTCCAAACGGTTTAGAACGGGGATTGATCGAAGGGCTTAACAAGGACAACTATTTCAGCACTTCATAAGGTGAGGATGGCTGACTATGTTGCTTATAATCTTAGGGTTAATTTCGTAGGATTACCTAAAGTAATTAAATGTGATTTTCATGGATTATTAATGATTAATAATGCCCAAATGAAAATATTGTTGTAAATGAATAAAGGAGCATAATATACAAATTTAAGGATAAATTGTGTATGATTATTTAATATGAGCATATTGGCTTGATGAAGGGATTAATTATAAATATTGTGTTGAAATATAACTTTAACTTCATATAAGGATATATGAGTGATTAAAGGTTATATTTTGTATATTGATATGAACTATATTTTCAATGGAAAATTAGTTTGGAAATTGTCTATATGACTATGAATTGAAAATGAGTTTTGTTGGAATTTATCCGACTAGTATTATGATACTAGTCGGGGTTTTGGAATGAAATATGTTAGAATTGATCCAAGGTTTGGATTGTAAATTGTTGAGCCTTAAGTAGTCTTAAGAGATACTAAGGTGGATAAGTGATGCTAGGGGTAGGCCTTAAGGGATACCCAAGGTAAAGTGAATAATAAATTGATCCTAGGGATGGGATTGGCCTACGGGTGTATTCGGTAGTCTTTAAGGATTAGCCGATAGAGTATTGGTAATTAGTAAGGACCATGGCCCTTCCCGACTCTAGAGAGCGGGGTTGGATAGCATGGACTTACATCGTGATCACGGGTTAGGGTGGAATCCGAACCGGAGACCTTACGAGGCTCCCGACAGCGGTAACACATAAGATAGGACCCCGAATGGACCTTACCTTCCTATGGGACGATGGGTATGAGTTCAGGGGCGGGATGTTGGACTCCGGCCCGAGAGCCCGGTGAGGCCTCGGAGAGCGGTGACAAATCTCGTAAGGATGATAAGACCTACGGGCGGTGTCGTGTAAACGATGATTGAAATGAAATATGAAAAGGGGCCGCGTGCCGACAAATTAATTAATTAACTTATTATGATGATAATAAGGGTTAAGGAAGAACTATCATTATATTATGATATCACTCTATTTTGAGGGTCTTAGAAGTTGAAACATTGATTATACTTAGTATAGTTGTCATTGTACTTGTCAAATGCTTCCAAGTACTGACCTCCCCTTCACGGGGGAGGCCACCTCACAGTTTCAGGTAGGGAGTAAAGCTTGCTACCATCACCCGTTGCTTCGGGGAGCTCAGGGAGAGAAGACGTGGTTCGTGCTTCCTCCGTTCTATTTTTAAACACTAAATTAATGCTCATGGATATTATTTTTGAATCATTATTTGGGCTTGTATGCCCATGTTTGCTAACGTGTGGCATGAACACTTGTATCAAATATTTCCGCTGCTTTAAATGATTATTTTTACATTATGCTTGTTTATGGATGTACTATTGTGAATGATATTCGAGACGCCTAGTATGGTATGGATGAGTTGGACTGCGGTTGACTATTCGTACTGTACGGCGGGTTGTTGACGTGTCCGGTAGGTCCGGGGCGTGACACAATCGACCCCGAAAGTTGTATTTCTCGGACTGTTTTAACTATATTTTATTTTATCGGGTCAAATAAAATATATTACATGTTCACAATCATTATGGATCTTAAGAATGAATATACATTCCCCAACTGAAAAATTACCGGTACTGGTAATTGGGCTCTGTTTGACGAACCGGTCAACCCAATGCCTTTCTTATGGCCCATTATGAATGTCCACCACCATATAGCTATTATCTATACCAAGGTGAATAAAATATGTGGTCTCGGGAAAATCGGGTGGTCCCCGCTCCCGGTGTGGGCCCCACGTGCAATTTACTATTCACGCAAAAGAATTAACAAAAATTTACAACCTCGTAAATCCATCAACCATTTCATACTATTCAATACATAATTTACATAAAAGTAAATATACTTGGGGACAGTGTTACATATATAGACTGATTTTTGTGCTCACACACTACTTTTATGCTTTACACGAAAAATGTATGTTTGTGTACCTTTTTTGTTTGCGTCAATCATTATTTGTCTATTGCAGACTACTCCCTCTGTCCCCTTTTAAATGTCCCATTTTACCATATTGGGATGTCCCTATTTAATTGTCTTATACCTTATTTGGTAAAGTTTGTGTGGCTCAAAATCATTTTTACTTTATTCTTACTTTATCAATCAATATCAACCACACAAACCCACTTTTCTTAAAACTCGTGTCACCCTCTTCCGAGACATTTAAAAGGGGACGGAGGGAGTATTAATGTTTGTACATAAAATTGATTCTTTGTGCCACAAAACACTGTCATCTCTACAAAAAGGCATAAAATCAATTTCTTTGCAATATCATTTTTTGCTCGTGGTCTACTTTTATAGACATTTACTAATTTTTCAATTTTATTTCTTCACACAAATAAATCTTATAAGTATTTTTTTGACAAATGGAATTCTTTAATTATAACCACACAGATGATAATTCCGATGACTTTTCATCTCCAATTTGTTTACCAACACACGCTGGTAAGCAAACGCCATCTCTGACTCATTTTCTAATCTTCAAAGATAATAATGATTTTGGTAACATGGTAGGTGATGGTGATGGAATATAGTATCAACCATTCTTGGTGTACACGTTTTTCCACAGACAAAACAAGCCAACTTATGTCTGTGGACCGCGCTTCACAGACAAAAAAAGGCTCTCACAGACACATGCGTGTACTGATGGGTACAAAAACGTGTACAAAAGGAATTTTTGATATAGTATAGTGAAGGTAAAAGATGATAAAAATGGAAGGTGGTGCGTATGAATGATTGAAAAGACGGTCATGGTGAAAATGATGAAAGGGAAAAGGTACAAATATACCTCTGTAGTATAAGTGTGGGAACAGATATACCCTTGTTCTATTTTTCGGAACAAATATACTCCTGAACTTTTAAAAAAGTACAAAAATATCCCTCATGTTCTTATAAAGGGGCAAATTAATCCTTATTAACTTTAAATTAATAAAATAAATTTCAAAAAGCACCAAATATAAATTACAAATTCGAAATTTAAAAATAAAAAATAAAAATGTAATAGTGACTAATTCTCCCTTTTATAGTTTTTATATTACAATTTAATATTGGTTAAGCATGAAATATTATTTCAAAATTTTACTATATGTTTAAGATTATTTCGAAAAGGTGCAACATATGTTTTGCAAAGTAGATAAAAATTAATTTTTTACATTCTTTGCACTATAAAATTACATATTAGGAAATTATATTTTATACTTAAAATATTAAATTGTGATATAAAAACAATAAAGGGAGAAATGGACACAATTACATTTTTAAAATTTTTATTTTTTAATTTCGATTTATTAATTTATTTTTTGTCTTTTTTGAAATTTATTTGATTAATTTAAAGTCAATAAGGATAAATTGCACCATTATAAAAAATGAGGGATATTTTTTCACCTTTTTAAAAGTCTAGGGGTATATTTGTTCCGAAAAATAGAACAAGGGTATATTTGTTGGGTTTTTTATAAGAATATTACTAAAATAAAACTTATTTACATAAATATGACTATTCATTACTACAACGTAGTGTTGTAGTAACTTAATTTCAAAACGTAAACATCAATTACTATGATTTCATTACTACTCTAGTAACTAGTCATATTTTTGTAAATCAACTTTATTTTGGTCATATTTATGTAATTATTTCATATTTGTCCCCCCACCTATACTACAGGGGTATATATGTACCTTTCCCATGATGAAATGAATCAAACCATACTTAAACAATAGAATAGTACAACATTTAACTATATTGTTCTACATGTTAGTCAATTTGAATAAAATTATAAATGATGGAGGAAGCATTATTCACTCAATTTCATTTAAGAAGATATGACTATATAACCTAAAAATAGGCTAGATTAAATTAGTATTCCCTAAAACACGTATATACACTCAATTATCTCTAATACTCCTCAAGCGAGCATCACTTTTTATTAAATATAATAACCAAATTAATCAGGGCCCATTAGGTAATACTCAAATCGATTTTATCAGTCGATTCTGTTAAAATTTTGGCTGAAAATGCTGGATTGCTCATTTATGAAAAAATTTATTTAAAATATACTCCCTCCGTCCCGTTATGATTGTCCCATTTTACCATTTCGATCCGTCCCACTAAGATTGTCCCATACATTATTTGGCAAAGTTTGTGTGGTTCTAAATCATTACTACTTTATTCTTACTTTATCAATTCAATATCAACTACATAAACTCACTTTTATTAATAATCGTGTCACATTCTCTTGTCCCAAACTTAGGGGGGCGGGGGTAGTGTTTTATTAATTAGACAAAAAAATATGCGAAAAATAGCTACAATGCTCTACAATAACTTCAATTAATACAATTAGAGAAGTAATTTCAAATTTACTTGTTATTATTATTACACAATTCGACACATCAAATTAAAATGTACATACTAAATTAAAAATTTGACTGAGACCTACCTTTGATAATTCTAAAATACGGAGTAGAATTTTACTTTTAAGGAGTACTACGTAGGTAGTTTTTTACAAGTGTTTATTCCGTGCAAACTGCAAAGTACCGTAGGAGTGCTAGTATGTCATGAAAGTTAGAAGTGACCATTGGTCTCTCCGCCATCAATCTCTGTTCATTTAGACCGCACCTCTCTTTCTTCCTCTTCTACAAACACAATCTGAGAGAGTTATCAACAATGGCTTCCACCGCTCTCTCCCAATCCCTCTCGTCCACCCTTAATGCTCAATGTGCAATCTCCCACAAGAGCAGCATCGGGAGTACTCCTTCCCTCTCACTAAACCGCTCACTGCCCTTAAAATTACAACCAGTTTCGATCCGGTCCAATACAAACCGGATTAGTTTCATCTCCAAATGTGCTCCCACCGACAATGAATCGGCGGCCGCCAAGTCTGAAACCCCTATTGAATTGAGTACGCTTTACTTATGGCCATCTTTTTAATTTCTTTTTCAAAAGTTTCTATCTTTACCGTGTTTTCTTGAAATTCACTTTACCAGGGTACCCATCATTCCCAACTGTGGTGGATATCAATCAGATTATGGATATTTTGCCTCACCGGTAATTTTTCCCTAAAAAAGAAATTACTTTTAATAGTTGTTTGGTCATGAATAATTTGGTTTTTGTTTTTGCAGCTATCCATTTTTGCTGGTGGACAGAGTGATTGAGTACAATCCGGGAGTTTCTGCGGTGGCTATAAAGAATGTTACTATTAACGACCAGTTCTTCAATGGCCACTTCCCTGGGAGACCAATCATGCCCGGTGTTCTCATGATTGAGGTATGCAATCCAACCCTCCCCCCTTTCACCTTAGTTTTAGGGTCTGCAGAGTGCAGATGCGCTTGGAACTGTTACAGACTTATTAGAAACCACATTGCAATTTGTGGATTTAAGCCCAAACAGTGTTGATCTTAATAGAAAAGGTATTGCAATGTAAATCAAACTTTGCTGGTGTTTTTTTATATACAGAATGCTCAACAAGAAATGCCTAAAAATTAAATAGCCCTGGGTTTGCAAATGATGTTTGTTCTACAGTGGATTTTACAACTGTCGAAGTCTAGTCTTATATGATCTGGAACTACAGTAGTCCAATTAAAAACATCCTAAATGTGATATGTGGTGTTGTGAATTTCCTTACATATTTAGTGATTTTAAGTTTTAACTTCTTTAGTAGCTTATTTAAGACCAGATTAGACCATTGTGTCAACCAACATTCTCACTTCTCATGAGAAACATCATTCTCAACAGAACTGCACCTTTTACACACATACAGTATACACACATACGTATGAAATACAGATCAATTAAAAAATACTTCCTTATATGAAAACCGAGAACTAATTTTGGTCCTTTATGAAAACAAATAGGTGGACGAGATCAAATTTAAGTCCAAAGTGTGATGCCGTGATGACATTATGAAGAAAGATTGAAAATTGAAATGACCATTCTCAGTTTATATGTCGAGAGCCTTTTCCTCTTAGATATATATTTATGTATGTAATGTGCTTGAAATGACCATTCTTAGCTCATATTTTGGGACAACCCAAAAATGAAAGTGTATGTTACAAAGTGGGACCAAGGGAGTAATGTATAAGATTTTTATTATTATTTATGTTTCATAATTTCCCATTTCTTTCTGCATGCATTTTTTACGCGATTTTCACTATGGTTCATTCGGAAACAGTCTCTCCGTGCTTTAGTACATGGGTGAGGTTGCGTACATCCGACCTCCCTTACCCCCCTTACCTCACTGTAGGTGGGAGCCTTTGCGGCACTGGGTTAATGATGATGATGATGATGATTGTGCTTGATGCTCTACTTTCAGTTTCAATTTTAAGATGTATGGGCATCACTACTTTCTATGTATTGAGTATATGTTCGTATGTACTCCGTGTCTGTGTAGGTTTATAAAATCCCACACTAAGAAATGCATTGGCGAATTGGCGTCCTTCAAAACTGTTCTTATATAAATATATTGGCGTGACTACTTAATCCAAACTTTTAATACTTACCCATAATCACATAGTTAATTTATTTGTGTTCTTTAATGAGCATAACTATGTTGCACGGAAATGTGGGAAACATGAAAAAATAGGAAACGGGAAATATCACCTTGTAACTGAAAAATAACTGTTTAAAGAGTTTTTCAAAGAGTTCCTGTAAAGTTTCTGAAACAGAAACGTACTCTTTACCAAAAGTTTCTGTGCTTCATGGATGAGCATAGATTTCATAATTAGATCGATAAAAAGTAATATAGGAAATTGATCAACCTAGATATATAAATATGAACATAGGGGAGTATGCTAGATTCTAGAGTAGCTTGCCTTTTTAAACAATTTGGATATTTTTTCTTCTGTTCACAAACCACATACGTAGTATTTCTTTATCTAAATGATTTTTCTTTTTCTTTATCCTGGTATTTTATGTTAGGCAATGGCCCAAGTAGGTGGGGTTGTGATGCTCCAACCTGAAGTAGGAGGATCCAGAAGCAATTTCTTTTTCGCGGGGATTGACAAAGTGAGGTTCCGGAAGCCAGTGGTTGCTGGGGATACATTGGTGATGAGAATGACACTTACCAAGCTGCAGAAACGCTTTGGTATTGCAAAGATGGAAGGGAAAGCGTATGTGGGCGGTGATGTGGTCTGCGAGGGTGAGTTTTTGATGGCCACCGGTGGCAGCGAGTAGAAAAGTCTGCTTGACCGATGTCTTGGCTATTGTTTATCTTAGAAAAAGGACTGATTTTTCTTTTCATTTCCGGGGTAGTGGTTATTTGGATGATATTAGCGACAGCTGCTTGTGTGTCCAATTTTTTATTCCCTTATTATTTCTCATTTCAAGCTGTCAGTATCTAATAGAGGGTGGTGATTGTATGAACATTATTCAGTTGAGTTAATAAAAGGATTGTACCATGCACAACTTGCTGGATAACTTGTTGAGAATTATATTGAATTATAATAACAATTACATGGAGAAGGTTGAGGTCGCTATACGGCATTTAGAGGGGCTTCTTGGTGAGCAAAGTCGTCCCTAACGTACTTGCCATGAAATGAAGTGAACTACTACCGAGTTTGCTCATAGAAGTCCCTCTAAATCCGAGTCGCTCTTTTGAGTTCGGCTAACAGGCACTTGGGCTAAGACACAATCTGTTTTCCAGTTGAGATATCAATTATGCTTTTCATTACATCCTCTCAGGTAAAGTGAAGTATTTATGGCTAGAACATAGAGCTACTTCAGGATGCATGGTTTCTACTTTCTGTAATCTTTTTTCATTTCGTTGGTTTTTTCTTTTCATGAGACACAAAATGTTTAGATTTGAGGGGATGAAGTAATTAAATGTCTAAAGATCAAATGGTAGAATGTGAAACACAAAATAGCCGTTGCCCTGTATGGGCCCGCCCTTCTTTGTTGTGCATGTGGGACATTGTAATGGTACATCTGCGCACACTGCACATTTTTATAAAAATTGCCGTTAGGATTTAGGATTTATTCGTATAATCGTATTGAAAAAAATGGCAAAATATTTTAGAGTTTTCCTTAAAAAGATGGAATGCTTATTTCAGATTATTTATCTCTTTAGTTGGTCACATAAATTAGACTTTTACATACGGACTACATCAAATGAGAATGCAGTCAGGTTGTAGGTATTTAAACAATTAAACATAAATATTCCATATATAACCAAAAAGTTTAATGCTTTATAGAGATTTCTGAAGTTTACCACTCTACCCCCATTTTTTAATTTTTTTTTGAAATTGAGTAGTTTCCCAGAGTTTGAAATACATGTTAAAAACAGGTACAAAGACTAAAGAGTAAAGAGTAAAGACTAATGTGGTGTAAATTCAAATTTAGCTGAAAGGGATTTAAATTTAATTCTCCCATTTTTAAATTATATTTTCAATTTCTCTGAAGTAATGAATTAAAATCAAGTGGTGTCTTTTTTTCGTAATGTTTGTCTATCTAAAGTTTGAACACAAATACTCCGGATCATCCAAATTGATTCATTTCCAAATAAGCACGTCAGAAAGCTATAATCTTCAAGGACAAGGTACTAAAAAGAAACACAGTAGTGCTTAAATAAATGTAATCTGCCATACGAATTGTTGGCAACAATTTAACCAAATGGTTTAGCTGCTAGAGAGAAACCCCCATGGCTGGTCTCGTTTCCAAATCCGTAGCCTACTTCCCAATCCCACTCAATCATCCCGCCGTCTATACTTCTCCCATACCCTTTCTTCCACTCTCAGCTCTTTCCAGAAGCATACAATCTGGAAGACGAAGAAGAAGAAAACTGCCTCAAATTACATTCTTTTGCAAACCCAATTCCCAATATGTTGAAGTAATCTCAATCCATGGTATATTTCTTTATCTTTCCTTTTGTATTTTCTCTTGCTTCCATTTTTTCAAATGTATCCCCCGAGAAAGTTGGGTTTTTTTTCAATAAAGAAAGTAAAGCTGAGGTATTTAATTCTTTTTGGGGGCCAGAACATGATGATGGTAGTTTTCTATTCCGGTTTGGGGATCCGGCAGAAGACTGTTGGTTGGTGGAAGTGGATAAAAGAAAAGATGCGGAAGAACTTCATGTTGTTAAGGAAGCGGAACAGAAAGAGGGCTTCTTGACTCATGCAGCTAATGATAGTGATATTCCTGAGTCAGAACTAATAAGTAGGAATAAGGGCAGCTATAATCTTTTAGAAGTAGGTATTTATTCAGAAGGGGAATTGCTTGAAAACTTCTCGGGTGAACGTCCCGAATCATCTAGTCATCAAACAAGAGGATTTCCAGACTATTCCAAACAACCAAGTGATGGAGAATACAATGCCTATGATGATGACTCCATTGAGCCTACAGAAGTAGTATCATCAGGCCAAGTAGAATCTTTAACCAAGTATGTGTATTTAATAGGTCACTTTCTCCACATCTGCTTCTTTAATTCAAGTTTCCTTGTTAATTAATAAGCTTTTATTTAAAATATTTTTTCAAGTCACATTGAATCACTGATTGCTTAAATTATATCATCAATTTTCTCATGTATATAACTAATGATAATTGACTTCAGTTTACTTTCAAAATTTATTGCCAATAGGAACTATGATGTATATACAAGTCTATAATAATCCGTGAATCGGAAAGAAATAGTGGTGTAACTTAATAGGAGATTTGCCTAAGTAGGAGTAAAACAAATTTGTTATCCTTACGTAAGTGTAATAAGGAGTATGTTTTTCCTAAATAGGAGTAATGTTATGTTGCTCTGGAACCATACTGCCTTGCCTGAGATTAATGTTATCCGAATATTTCGGACTTCTAACTAGCAGTCCTATTTGGGAAAAACATAGTACTCAATTTAAGTAAAACACCTAATTTTCATTTATATTAGTGTAATTTATATAGCAAAAATTCAGAATGTGTTTAGCTCTCTATACTTTTATTCTTCTTTTTTTCTTTCCAATTTGTAGAGAGTCAACCTAATATTATTGAAACATACAACCTTCCACATGAATCTGCTGTTCTCGTCTATACAAGGACAATTGTTATATTAGTAATCACACTTCTGTTGTCTTTGCTAAGCAGTAAGGCCATTCAAACGACTGAGTTAGTGCTTTCATCTGGTGCTGCTTTATTCCCGCATCCCTCTAAGGTATTTCTTTCACATATATAAACTAAAAAAGTACAATGCTCTGTGTTTTTGAAATCTCAGAATAATGCCTCCTATATTCTCCACGAAAAGATGATCGAAGATCAACCGACAACATTACGGAAATACAAGTAATGCAAATAAATAATAAATTCCAGGCATTTACAGGTGGAGAGGATGCATATTTTATGACTGATCAGAACTGGTTAGGCATAGCTGATGGAGTTGGTCAGTGGTCCCTTGAAGGTATTCCTTACGAAAGTCCTTTTTTTGCGCGGTTTTCGTTAGCATTCTTGACCTAAAATCTCCATTGGATCATGAATTAAAACCTTATTTGGTAATGCCCAAATGGGATGATAAGCCTTAAAATGATTACCAAAAAGCACCAAATGCCCCAATATTTGGTTGATTTGGCTTTTCAGGGTAAAATCGTCTTCTTGCCACTTTTTTGGATGGTTCTCATTTTTACAAGCAATGAGCAATTTTATCGTTTTTTGTATTGCCTAAAACAAAAAAGTTGCATTTTTAGGTATAATTACACATCCACCAACCCTTTCTCCCAATAAATCACCAACCACTTTGACTGAGCCAATTCAGTCATTTTAGTAATCATCAAATGGACCCTAATTCAATTTCCACCACCTCAGGTATTTATCCAGGGGTATATTCCAGAGAACTGATGGAGCATTGTGAAAAGGTTATATTGCAGTGTGGCAGTGATTTCAGAACTGACCCTAAGGCAGTTCTTGAACTGAGCATGGAAAAAGTAGAGTCCCCAGGTCGTTCAACAGCTTTGATTGCACACTTTGATGGTCAGGTATAAATCATGTTTTTAGTAAAGGGAGTATAAGATGTTACTAAAACAGTTTTCAGCGTTCAGATCATGATAGTTTTGACTAGCAAGTTACAAGAATGATATGGATTAGGGTGTGATGTAATCTCATACTACCCCCTGTTCAAAAGAAAAGAGTCATGTTTGACCAAGGTACATCATTTTAATTTTGGTATAAGGCAAAACTACTAAACCAAACCAAACATACACATTACACAGTATATCCTTCTCATAAGTAGGTCTTGTCACTCTTGTGTAGTTGTGTGGGTGAGATATACGCAAACCTTAGCCCTGCACCCTATGAGTAGATAGTCTCTTTCTGTGAAGACCCTTGTTAAGCAGTACGATTTGGAATGGGAAAACTACGAAAGAACAGTATCGAAAAAACCATTTTTATGGTGCACGGTACAACTACGATATATCATGAAGTCATCAACTTAATCAATGTTTTGTAAATTACAAGAATTAACAGTGTTTGTTCAACAAAGACTTTATTTCAAGATCGTGGGATTGTGTTTCCACTTTCTTGTGGAAATTTTATGGTGCACATACATACGATTACATTAAGCCTTACCAAAACAACTTATTTAGGCGCTTGCTTATAAGTAATGTTAAATGGTGGCAGGTTTTCCATGTGGCTAATATCGGAGACTCTGGATTTATTATGATAAGGAATGGTGTGGTATTTAAAATGTCATCCCCAATGTTCCACGCATTCAATTTCCCTATTCTAATCGGAGGTGGTGACAATCCCTTTGGAGTTGTGGAGGTAATTATTATTTGTGCATTGTTATGCATAAAAACAGTAAACCTGTATTGCCTTGGAAATGTGTTAAGACTCGAGTACAGGGAAATAGGGAGATCCCTAAGTACAATATTGACTGAGCCACACCTAACACATAAATGCATTAATCGAAAACTTTTGATCGTGACTATTTAGGTGATATATCTCCATATTCTTAGAAGATACATATATTGTATATCCATTCCACTGAGCTATTAGTTGTTATGATTGTCTTCCTTTTTGTGCATCATCAGGAATACAAGAGTGAGTTAGAAGAGGGGGACATTGTGGTCACTGCAACTGATGGTCTTTTTGACAATTTGTATGCACAAGAAATAGCATCAATTGTGATCAATTCATTGAAAGCAAATAAAACACCCAAGGTGCCTGCATTTATATCTTCTTCTCACACAAAAGCCTTTCATGAGAATTTCTTTTTCTTTATGGCCATTAAAAGCCGATATATACTCCGTATATATATAATTCTCAAAGACTCGCTATTTTTTGGCTTGGGATATGATGGAATAAAAGAAAAATGACCCACTAAACTGTCCTTTTTTTTATGAAGCATTAGCCAGTCCATGTGATTTTTTACTCGATTTTCATCACGGGTACATGGCTGTGTACATCCGAACCCATTACCCACCGTAGGTGGAAGCCTTTGCGCACTGGGGTAATGCTGTTGTTGTCGTTGTTGTATATGTGTGACCCTCAAAGCATTCTTGTATGCTCTTTCTTGTCACAGGAAATTGCAGAGGCATTAGGTACAAGGGCGCAAGAGGTGGGAAGCGCAGCTTGTGGAAGGAGAAGCCCATTTTCTGATGCGGCCCAGCTGGCTGGATATGTGGGCCAGAGGGGTGGAAAACATGATGATGTGGCTGTTATTGTTTCTGTAGTTCAAAACAATACTCGCTGACAAATGACAATTAAGGGTAGTGTAATAATAATAGTAACAATAGTAGTAATAATACGGAGTAATAACTATGTCTTTTTTGGGAAGAATGCTTAAAGCTTAGTGAAATGTTAAGTGCGATATGTTGATGATGAGTTCATTGAAGTAGAACAATTACCATTTACCATGCTTGCGGTGACATAGCCAGGATATAAAGTGGACTAGGCCGATACAAAAAGAGATAACTTTATACAAATTTTTATACATGTATAATAATTAAAAAAATCAAATTTGGGGAGATCAGGACTTAGCATGCCTCTACTATGTCCCAGCATGCATGTTAAGTTTTGGAAATAGATATGAAATAAATGATGAACTTACTAACCAACCATTATTACTAAGCTAAAAAATCACACTACCTATGAAGCCCTTTGACTAGTTATGTGTAAAGAACTGTGATGATGTTTTGGGTTTCTTCTTCCAATCTTCCCCTATAGATTTATGAACTCTTCATTTACAATTTCATGTGTACCATGGATTGATAGATAATCTCATTTTGACGACTGGTTAAGAGGAAATATGGGTTTATAGTTTTATACATTTTGAAGGCTATTAATTAGTTACCTCTTTTGTATGTATTACCACTTAGTTGGTACTCCGTATTATCTATTAAACTATCTATCCCATCTCCTATTATTACTGAAGATTGAAAACATTATCTATAAGGTTCTTATATCTCTAAATTTCATAAATTTTTGGTCTTTTTTTCATTCCCATCTCGTCTTGCAATTGCATCTTCTCTCCTATTATTTTAGAAACAAAAAATTAGATAATATTCATTAGCACATGTCAACCAATAGGAACCAACATTATAGAAAATTAGAAATGACAATTACCTGCTCCAATGATTTAAGTAAAAAACAATATGAACTTGCTTCTCAGCAACAATTCGGGCCCCTTAGCTCACCAAAATTATGTATCAATCCATCAAGAAAGTTTAGTTTTTTTTTTAAATGAACATAAACTTCATTAACAATTGTCCCTCAACAGAATATCATGAATATAAAATGGTGGAATCTCAAACCAATAAAAATTACTACCTCCGTCCCCTTAAGTTTGGGGCAAGAGAAGGTGGCACAGTTATTAATAAAAGTGAGTTTATGTGGTTGATATTGAATTGATAAAGTAAGAATAAAGTAAGGATGATTTAGAAACACACAAATTTTACCAAATAAGGTATGAGACAATCTTAGGATGTTTTTACTTGGACTGTAATTTGCTGGTCTGGTCTGGTCTGGTCTGATCTGGTCTGATCTGGTCTGAACTGGTCTGGTAAGGTCTGGTTTCTTTGTATTTTTATAACTATCCAAGTCTGGTCTGGTCTGGTCTGGTCTGAACTGGTCTGGTCTGAACTGGTCTGGTCTGGTCTGGGGCAAATTACAGTCCAAGTAAAAACATCCTTAGTGGGACGGACTGAAAAGGTAAAATGGGACAATCATAGCGGGATTGAGGGAGTAGAAAGATTGCCTAGCTAACACATGTGTCACCTTATTCGATAAATATTGATGATAAATGTCATCATGTATCTATTATCATCTGACAAATCTATATCATAGGAACTCCACCTGGGGAAATTATGACGTTCACAACTTGTTGAGTGTCTAAATAATAACTTTTTACCAATCATTTTCTTTAGCCCATTGCATATTTGCATCGCTTCCCTTATAACTGTCAATTCAGTAGAACTTGTTACAAAATTGCCCCTACACTTCCATCTCATCTCTGCCACAAAAGATCTGAACTCATCCCTAGCACCGATGCCAATCCCACGATTAGAGTTATTTGGGTCTAGTGCATCGTCTATATATATTGATCTTTATACAACATGTAGCTTCCATCTCCCATTTTCTTCTTGATTTTCCTTCTCCTACACGTGGTTGTGGACCTTCATCCAGCCTTGGAGCACTGCCTCAGCAACACCCATCACGCCCTGCCAGTTCAGCTTCAACTAAATAATTAAGTTTAGTTTTAAAATTGATAATTAAATAATCAAGTGCAGTTTTTAGTGTGACCGACCACATTTGTACTAAAGTCTAAAGCGGACTTCTATCATTTTGATTGCATATTCAAATGGTTTAAGGAATTGTTCTAGGGGGTATGAAAATTGGATATAGTTAACTAGTTAAGTGATATCATCACTGATTCAAAGTGATAGAGGAGTGAGTTTGATTTTTTTTTTTACTTTGGCATTTGCTTTTGCAAATCATGTCCTGGAAGCCAACAATATAATAGTGTTGCCAAATCTAAACAGTGCCATTTTTATAGAAATAGCTCGAACCATGCTAATTGATGCAAAACTTATGGCTAGTTTTTGTGAGGATGCAGCTTTTAGAGGTACTCCCGTACTTATATTGTTAACCCGTCTTTGAAATTTTTTCAAAAGTCACTAGATATTTCTCCCGTTAGTATGGTTTGTCGTGCATATGATCTACATTTAGCAACATCACCATCTAACAAGCTTTCTCTTTGCAACATTACTATACATATTACCGTTTTTTTAAAATTAGTTGTCATGTATTTATATTACTCGTAGTTGTTACATCATAGGAGTGTGTACGTATATTAGTTTTCATGTACGCGCGCTTTCACGAATCCAGATTTCCTTACTCATACCCCGTTTGTCATCTATACCATGACTTGTCCTCTTTATTTGTGCCTTGGATCGTACCATTTCAACTAACATATATATATATATATGGTTGACTCTAAATGGATTTACAAGACAAAACGATCATTTAATTGCTCTGGATTATAATCAATAGGCAGGTGTAAACATTTCTTACACTTTAGTCTTGTGTTATTAAATTAACCACAGTTCGTATTTTCTTATATACTCCGTATTAATTAGTAATAATATTACTATTTCATACGGAGTATGATAGGGCTATTCACAAGTCGGATACCAAACATGCACTTTTACATTAACATTTTACAGCGGGATCTATATGCGCCAACTTTAAGATTTTAATAGTCCTTTGTGTTTTATGCCCCATCATTTATATGTCATCTCCATAAAACTATTTTTGGTCTCAAATAAGCACCTTGGGTGAGAATGTAAGATATTATGGCTTTAGTTTCTTTCCGAAAATAGATGTAGAATATACTAATAATCTCAGAATGAAAAAATATTGACTCTGACATTCTAATTTTTTTCTTCAATTTGTATCTATATTTTTCAATTTTTATTTTTTTTAAAAAAAATTTCATATAAAAAACTTGCTAGTGTTATCATGTTTGGTGGAGCTTTTAAAAACCATGAAGCTGTCGTACTTTAATTCTATTTTATAAAATATATTTACTGAGACCCAAAAACACAAAAGTATTAGAGTTATATTGTAAATAACTCCTAAAATGGATACGGTTTGGAAGAAATAGTACCAAACTCAAACCAAATTGCATACGGTCCGGTTTCGATTTGGTTTAGTTCAGTTTGGTACGATTCGGTTCGGTTAAACCAAACCGTTATGCCCCCTAATTTCTCACAAGGAAAAAACAGTTTTGAAACATTATTAATACTTATAAACTGTTCTGTAACTATTCGATCTGTGCTGGTAATTATAGCGAAGTCGTCAATCAATTTAATATATGCGTAGTATATTCCAAAAGAAAAACGTTTCATGCATGCCAAACGAGTGAAACGATAGATTATTCTAGTAATCTAGCCTATGATATTACGGAATAATATTTTACGGATTATATTACGGAGCACGTATTCGTTGTGTCTTTAACAAGAGTAACATTAATGTGTTTCTTCTGATCTTCACTTTATCGACCCGAAAAGGATGTTATATTGGGGACATTATCTAAGAGGTTTAGTACAAATTGTACGATTCGAACATGAGAATTTAATTTATTATCTATGTCTTAAATGGTTCACTTTTGTACTATATATTCACATATTCTACTCTCTCTATTCGCTAATACATGTCCCTCTTTCCATTTTGAGATGTTATGTAATACATGTCCCCTTTTCATTTTTGAAAAGTTTTTTCAATAAATATATGTATATACCTTCATTCTCTTTTATTTCTACTTTTTTCATTTTCTTTCCTACTTTATCTTTTACACACAACTCACTGCACCTTTTATCCTACCTCTATTATTTTCTTCTTAAATTTTGTGTCAAAGACTATACTCTCATCTATTAGAGAATAGAGGAAGTATTACTGTAACTCTATTCTATTTATTAATGCATTGACATATAAATTTTAATAATATTTGTCTCAATATTTAATTTATTGAACAATTGATATAGTTTTCTAATAAACTTTCTACATATGAATTTCTACAATTTCACTCATACATTGAAAAGCATGAAGGTTTTTTTCAATTGGACTTGTTCTAACATCTAAAATTTAATGTTAATTCAGATTAAACCATATGTGCAGTGATCAAACTTAACCGGACCACACAAAACGTAAACAAGTCAAAACAAACCAAACCTTCCAAAACACTAACGATATTATACTCCGTACGTATACAATATGCATAATATCACATACACCAAATTAAAATAGACTAGATGAGAAGGAGATCAAATCAAATGAACTCATCCCATCTTGGATTTAAATAACTGTGCCTAATTTTTATTTATCAAAGTGAAACAATTAATCGAACTACTACAAAGTAAGAAAAGAAGTAAGAAAATACTCTTTCCGTCCCGCAAATGTGGTCTCATTTTACCTTTTCAAGAAATCTCATTATAATTGTCCCGCAAATGTTGTCTCATTTTACCTTTTCGAGAAATCTCATTATAATTGTTTATTCAATGTAAATTGTAAACCATATAAATCCGGCCACTTTTCTTAATAGTTGTGTCAATGTGTCACTTCGTTCCATTTCAATGTTTCTTTCTCTTCTACACAAAGTTCGATCAAACAATTTTTACTTTATTAATATCCAGATCAAACTTAATACTGATTAGTGTGGAGTGTGGAGTGTGGATACCACCCCAATATCGCAGGAAAGAGAGGCACAGAAGAGGAACGCATCAATTCCGTGCCCCGCGGGCCCCACTCACTATGTTCGCATGACACCCGACCCGACCCAGAAACTGCACCATCATCTCCTTCCTTGTATATATACTCCGTACTCCGTATATCCTTTCATTTCTCTCAGACAAGTGATCGGCCACAATCTCGATCACAATTGATTTGATCGATGGGGTTTGGCTTGAAAGCTTTCTGTTCACTAGCGGTGTGCGTTCTCGCCGTGTGGGAAATCACGGCGGCGGACTCTGCCCATCCGGCGGACTCTGCCCATCCGGCGGATTGCGACAGCCTCGTACTCAACATGGTAGATTGTCTGTCGTTCGTCTCCAACGGCAGCACGACGGCGAAGCCGGAGGGGACCTGCTGCTCCGGGCTCAAAACGGTGCTGAGAACCGATCCGAAGTGCCTCTGTGAAGGGTTTAAGAACAGCGCGGATTTCGGAGTTTCTCTGAACGTCACCAAGGCGGAATCGCTCCCTGCCGCTTGCGACGTTCCGGCTCCGCCTGTTAGCAACTGCGACTGTGAGTAGATAGATCGATCGCTTCTGCGTTTTCGGTTTCCTTAAATTAAATCGATTGTGTTAATTATGATTCTTAATTTTCCCTAATTAATTCGTTTGTTGCCTTTGATTACGACAAAAAAATCAGTGAACGGCGCCGGGAATCCATCAACATCTCCGGCTGGTACGTACGTCCCCGATCAGATTCTTTCATTCTCCTTGTAATTTCATTTCCTCTCCGATCCTATTCATATACGCCATCAAATTATACATACGGAGTAGTATATAATTTTACGCTAATATAAGACGCTCATTTGAATATATGCTCATCATTTTGCATGAATTTCACAAGATCTCATCATTTTGTACTAGTGACATACTCAATTTCATCATTTATAAAATTTATAAGATATCCATGGCTGAATATGTTAAAATTGTTAATATTTTAGTTGAAATTATTATGAATAAATTGCATTTAAAATATAGTTTACCGCACAATTTAACGAGTAAAATTGAAAAAATTGATAGCTAGATGAATTTAGATAGGGTAATGGTGTCCATATAATGTATTCCTTTCGTCTCAAATTGATTTGTAAGGGTAATATTTTTTGGTCAAATAGTTTTAAAGTTAAATCCTCCTTATTGTAGCTAATTCAATTTTTAATAAATTAAAATTTTCAAATTCAAAATTATAGTAAAATCTTTTCAAAGTTGCAAATTCCAAATTAGAACATACTTAAAAATTGACATCCTAATTTCGCGAATAAAATGAAACGGTTTGACAAAAAAAACAATTTTGCAAATTAATTTGGAACGGAGAGAGTATATGCAAAACAAAATGAATGAGCTTTTGTGATTTTTAGAGGGTTTTAGTGAGTTTTCTGATTTGGTGTAGATTCCTTTTTTATTTTTTGTTTGATTTGAGTTACACTTCCCTATAAATGTGTTATCTATCTATTAAAAAAATCTAGCTAGGAGTGAATGTCAAAATAACAATTTTTTGAATATGTAGGTTTAAGATTTATATATAATATCATGGATTTAGATGTTTTATTCAATTACAATACTCCGTACGTATTATTCAATTACCTATTATTGTTTCTGTGAAGAAAAAATTAGCACTCAGATTATTTCGTTCATGAAACCCTATATAATTGGTAACACGTCTTCTTTTTTGTCACCATTTTGGCAGCTCCATTATCTCCGAGAAGAGCTCCTCCTTCAATGGGAAGTCCAGCAGGAACTTCGCCGGTGCCGATAGCTAATTCGCCAACTCAAGAAAATTCGGTTTCGTCCATTCGGGCACCGGCCTTTGCTGCTGCCATGGCAGCTGCATTTTTGGTGTTGTTATTTTGACTTGGGAACGAACTAGTAGTGTTCCTTTGTTGTCCAACTCATCTTATGCATACTACTAGCTAGCAGTAAGTATGCAAGCGTAGGAAGCATGTATTGGTTGGTTTTGAGAAAGAAAGTGAGAGGTTTGTTTTTTTGAGAGCATACCGTGCAGTGGATGCATTATATTCATATTTGATGAAAAATTAATAATAATAATAATAATAATAATTGAATTGAAGGTATCGCAAATGTCGACTATGGAGAATTAACTATATATAAATAATTCCAATTATAGGCCGAGACTTTCCATCAATAAATTTGCTAATGAATACGAATTGAAGTATAAAATTTAAATGCGTAGTATTTATTAAAAAAGTAGAAATAATATTTTTCTGAAATGAAAATTAGAAAAATACTATTGTATTTTTTATGTTCTTAAAACATTACGTATATTTTAAAAAAAGTAACAGAGTTAGGAACATATTATTGCCAAATAATAGGGGTATTCATATGGTTTTTACGTTGCCAAATTATAGGGGTATTCATATGGTTTTTACAAAAAATCATAAAAAATTGTAAAAAAATCAAAAGTATTTTAAAATAATACTAAACTAATAGAAAATATTTTTAAAAAAATAAAAAACAATTAAATAAATAAAAAATAAATAAAACACCTTAAAAATTATAGAGACCTTTCCCACAGTCTCGGCCACTGCCCAGCCAAGTTACTTCTGATTGGCTAAAAAATACTATCCTCCGTATCATAATAGTTGCAACATTGAAATTTACACACTATTCATGTACTATACTTTGACTACATTTTATTTATTAATGAATGTGAATTGTTAATTTTTAAAAATATTGTTGGATTCGTCTCATTATGAAGTTTCATAATCTGATTTTAAAAAGTTTTTACTAATAGAGAATTAAATATAATGATGGTCACAGTTGTGCATTGGCAAACGTGAAAAGGAGAATGTTGCTACTAAAAAGAACGGAGGAAGTATCATTTTGTATAAAAACTGCAAAAAAAATTGGAAATGCGATGAAGGTGAAATTTTTACTCCTTGAAAATGTTAAAATTTTCTCAAAAACTGTCACCGAGATAGCATTTCTGAAACATGTTGACATTTTCTCGGTGATTGGAGTTGTAGGTGGTGGGAGCTTGTTGAGGTGACAACAAAGACCCGCATATTATTTTACATTTTTCCATTTTTTACTAAGTAAAAAATGGAGTATTTATTAAGTACTCCATATATATAGCATTTTTTATTATATTGTAATTTGGACTTTTGTGACTCTCGAACTAATGTGACATCTGAACACGTACATTTTAATCAATAAAACTGATAGAGACAAATGCTCAGGTCCAGCCGGAGGGGCAGGAGCCGTCGTCCGAAATCTGCCGTTTGGGACAATTCCTGGTGAAATTGTTTGATGAAATTTTTGAGCATGTTCTCCATCAAGTCTAGTTTATCCTCAAACAATTTCAGCTCAAAATTCGATCGGGAAGTCAGTCAAATAATTTTTTGAAGTTGACTACGCAAAATTATACATAGAAAATGATGTTAACTTCAAAAAATTATTTGATTGACTTCCCGATCGAATTTTAAACTGAAATTTTTTGTGGATAAACTAGACTTGATTGGGAACATGTTTAAAAAATTTTATCAAAAAATTCCACCCGGAATTTCCCCAAACGGAGGAGTTCGGATGGCGGCTTCCATCCATCCGGCTGGACCTGAGTATTTCTCCTGATTTAGATATCTGTAAAGATGATTCAGAGCCCGTTTGGTAGCACAAAAATCGGCTGATTTGGCTGATTCTGTTGACATTTATGAAGTTTTAGTTGACATTTGATATGAGTAAACTAGACTTGATGAATAAAATGCTCAAAAAATTTCATCAAAACATTCCATCGGGAACCCCCACAAATCGCGACGGCCGGACAAAACCTCTTATATAAGGATTTATTTGACCTTTTTATAAAAGTTTGAGGACCTATTTGACAATTTTCCGTTTTAGATTGAGAGTATGTTAGAGTGGTTGCATTATCACTCCTCTAGGCCTTGCTGGTATATGACGCTGTACTTGCTCTCTTTTACTCTTTTAGTGGCAACTCCTAGAGACGATTCCAGTGGTAATTCTGTTCAACCAAAAGTAGGAAATGAAAAAACAAAATCGCAAGGGACCGACCAAAGAACAAACTTTCATGCCAAACGACAGGCCGTATGGTTTATTTGGCCCCAAACACTATTTTCGAAGCTATAATAATCTTCAACTCAGACGGATTATATATTTATATGCGTAATGCGTTAATATTAATAATATGAATTTTTTTTTTTCAATGTACTATCATAAAGCTAAGTATAAATTTATTAAGTTTCACATTAATACATTTTATTAATGGATGAAAATTTATCATTTGTGATTGAAAAACTCAAATATGACTAAATGAAAAGGAATAGAGGTAGTATTAATTAGGGACTTTTCTTTTTTATGCTTGCATAATGCGGATCGGTTGGTAGATAATAGGGCTGACAATATCACCCGCACCCGCAAATATCCGGTCAATACGAACCGAAAATATGGACGAAAACCCGAAGAAATATGGATGAAAAATGGATGACGGGTGGATAGAAAGACGGGTTGGATCGGGTGTGGATGAACACTCATCCAACCCATCACCCTACCCCTCACCCGCTCCATCCACCCGCACCCGTTGACCCGCATACACACACGGACACACACACATATATATTATGATATCTATTTAATAATATATAATATATATAATAATAGTTAATATTAATATGTTAATAGATATGTTATACGGAGTAGCATTGTATTGACTAAAATAGGAGTTCAGCCAAGCCGTATATCATTGGTAGTGAATTAATGATATGTAATACTCCCTCTGTCCCATTTTACCTTTCCTACTTTCCTTTTTGGGTTGTCTCAAAATAAGTGTCAACTTTCCCTTTTTGGAAAGAAATATGTGGTCTACACCATTTCACTTTATTATACTCAAACTTCAACCACAAATTTTACTTTTTCAACCACTTCATTAATAATCGTGCCAAGACAAACTAAGACACATAAAATGAGACCGAGGTAGTATATATACTTAATTGCTCAAGTTTTTGTTGTTAGTTTTCAATGAATTCTTAATTTTTGTCATGATTTCTCTTTATCATTTATTTATTTTTTCTTTCAAGTTTGACTATTAATATTCACCCGTTATTCACCCGATCCACCCGACAACCCGTTCATGATGGGTGGGTTGGATGTGGATGTAATTTTTAATGGATGATGGACGGGTGTGTGGACTATGAAAAATTAACGGGTAGACGACGGATGAGCCTTCGCCCGGTATAAATCCGACCCGCTGCCATCCCTAGTAGATAAGCTCAATATAGATTTTATTTTGGACACGTAACACGTTAAACCAATTTCTCTTACATAATACGGAGTAAAAATTAGATAAGCTAAGATCGAACAAATTAAATGAGCTTGAGTGGAAATGTGGAATATGTGATCGAGTATATTCTTCTATGTTCCTATCAATTATTGAATTTTGGGTAGTTCACATATATTCTACTAGACGATAAACCCGTGCGTTGCACGGGAAATCTAGGAACCTTTTGGTGCTCCATATATGTTTACGGTTTATCAAACTTATCAACCATTTTAGTTTTTTCTCATATTTCGTATAATTTTTTCTGAGACAAAGGGATTATAAGTTTTTGAGATAACAAAAATAACGAATGTTAGCAAAGTTTCATGAGACAGAGTAAGTGTAAGTTTTATGATATTTAATTTATGAATGTGACTTTTCTAATTTGTAGTTACTAACTGTCACTGAGAAGTTGTTGTGTTCGTCATATTTTTATGAGAAAAATAATCAAAATACATAAACTCTAAAGAAGCGTGAGATAAACACTCCAAACTTTCATATGTAATTTAAATACCCCAAATTTTATGTAAAATTTATTTAGGCAATATGGTCCGATCCTATATTATTCCTTTCAAAAATGTTATTTATGGTGTTAATTGCATAATTTAAAATAACAAATTAAAAATGTTGCAATTGTTCACTCTAGTGGGGGCATTATTATTTATTTTGCAATGAAAGTTGAGAATGTTAATTGTATTTTTTAGAATGCTAAAATATTTTAAATTGTGAAACTTACACAAAAAATTAACAATTTTGAAAGAAATAATACATGACTGGTGCTAAAAGAACTTTTTACATAAAAGTTGGGGTATTTAAATTATATATGCAAGTTTGGGGTGCTTAATTCACACTCCTTTTAAAGTTTGAGGTATTTTAATTACTTTACCTTATTCTTATTGCTTAATGTTTATTTTTATTTTATTTAGACCAGATCAAATAAGGGACAATTCAAGTTAGATGAAATCGGAAAAATTAAGTTCACATGAGAAAGATTTAGATGTATAGTTATAGTTATAACTATAATTATAGTTATAAATTTAATCACAATAATAGTGATGATAATAACAAAAATAACCACATCAATAATAAACATTTAATTACATTAGCAATATTTAGATCTGAGTGAGATTGATTCAGATCAAATAAAAAAGATTCAAATTAGATATAAAAAAAAGTTTCTGATCAACTCAAAAAAATCAGATCATATGAAATATTAAAAATTCAAATAAAAACATTTCTATCCGGCTAATTGACTAACCCCTAAGAGAGTGTTTGCATATACTTAAAAAAGCGATTGTCGACTTTTGGCTTAAAAAGGCTAAAATTAGTGTTTCCGAATGACTTCTACTTAAATAAACGTTTTTCGACTTTTGGCTTAAAACTGCTCTTTACTTTTACTACTACACAAAAAGCGCATATTTTACCAAACACTGCCACCTTTTACTTTTCGAAAACATTTTTTCTCTCAAGTGCTACTAACTTTTACTACTAATCACTTTTTCCAAAATAATTTCAAAAAGTGTTTTTTAAGCAAAAACATTTGAAAACATTTTTTAAATCTTAAAAAAAACCTCTCAAAAAAAATCCTCTCAAAAAAAAATCTTCAAAAAAAGTATTCCACTAATTATTATTATACGGAGTACTCAATTAGTTTTAGTATTACCCAACTACTACTTTAGCAAATACTACGTATTATTGAAGTTAAAATACGAATTAGCTAGTATTATGCATGTTTTCGTAACTGAAAGTGCATTGATGAAGTATTAAGATAGATATTTAATTGAG